GTCTCCTTTCTTTGGTTCCTCTGCCTTTCATTCCAGCAGCACACACCCCTCACCTACAGAGTTTGCCTGTCTCCCCTAAGTCAGAGGTCACTAGGGCCACCCAAAACACTAGCTGTCCTACCAAGAGGTCCAGGATAGACATGAACAGGCAGTACTATTGGTTGGGTTGCGTGCCGAATGGGAGATGGCTTCTTCTATGCCAGCAATGAAAAGCTAATGACTGGGACCTTTGTAATGCTCACCATAGATTGCATGCTTCATTCCCAATTCCCAGAGGATATCCTGCAATTCCTCCATAGTCTGCCATCACAAAGGAGATGTGGGGACTTCCCCCTCACTTGGCAGGTTGTCTTAAAGCTGACAACCACCACCCAACAGAGAGTGAGAGCCTGATCCCCATTATTGGCACCACAAAGGTGCTGCCTCAGGGCTGGGTGGTTTGTGATGGATGTCATTTTATTCATTGTGAGTCCAGAAAGTCTCATATCCTCTGCCCCTATGTCCCATAGACGGAGGAGCCACCCCTTGAACGACTCTCTCCCCTTCTGTCTGAACATATTTTCCAGCTCCTTAAAGTTAATACGGGTCTAGCATGTCAATTGTCGAGCCAGTCAGGAGGGTGGAGAAAATCTTGTGAACATCAAGACAACAGGGTCAAGAATGGGAAATCTGCAGGGGGATACTGAGCTGGCTCTCTATGTCTATGTGGGACCCTATAACTACTCTCTTTGATGAATGGGGCCCACTGAATTTCCCATTCTTCAGTGGTGTAGTCCCGCATTGTAGTTTGCTGCCATCTTTCAGATGAGGACAAGTCTTGTGGGGCTACACCCTGGGGGAGCAGTCAATCTACTTTTATTTTGGTGATGACCATTGGATGCACAGAGAAAATGAAGATGGGAACCTCTATGAGCTTGTCCCAATCTTCACCCTCATCCCCGCTACAACCTTCCATTAGGTCCCAGGGTAGTTCAGTCCTGATGCTGACAACTCTTCAAATGAGTTACCCAACAAGCCAGAGTCTCCACTTTGTCATTCTGTTCCCACAGATCCCAGGATGGTAAGGTCTTGGATGTTTCAGCCCTAACTAATCTTGCATCTCTTCTAATTGCAGTTTGTCCTATAACTGATAAACTCTCACCTGTGCTGCAAAATCAGCCTCCACAGCTGTTCAGTGCTCGGTCAGAAGCAGCAGCCAACTGCAGCTGCCACAGCTCAGGCATCTGACCTTCCCTCAGTCAGATCTGTCCCCTGCAACAACTCTTCCACACCCTTCAGCATTTTGGAGTGTTCCACATACTCACTCAATGGGCTCCATTCATCAAAGAGAGTAGTTGTAGGGTCCCACATAGACATGGAGAGCCAGCTCAGGATTTCCCCTGCAGATTTCTCATTCCCAACCCCATTGTCTCGATGATCACAGGGTTTTCTCCATCCTCCTGACTGTCTTGGCAATTGACATGCTAGACCCTTATTAACTTTAATAGAGATGCCACCAGGTTCAAGAGGCCAAAGAAGAGACCTGGGGCTAAGCCGCCAAGCAAAGGAGACACAGAATTTCATTAACAGGAAACTTACAGGGACAGTCCAGTGGCAGCAGGCTGATCAGAACCGGGCAGCTCAGTGACCATGGGCTAGGCAGGAGAATCAAATGATGCAGTGGCAGGGAGCTGGGTAGGAGAACCACAACCGCTTGCAAAAAGCATGCAGTCTACATAGCATTTTCATTTGGCAGCCTCTCCCTCACTGCCTCCCCTGGGACCCTTCATTTAACCCAAAAAAGGACTCTGATCCTCAATCTCCTGTACAGCTTGCATTCCATCGGACAAGACTGAGGATTCAGAAGTTCTTCATAGCTAAGGAACAGTCTCCAGAATAGCCACACCGAGATTCCTTAGCTCAGAACTCCAGACACACATTCAGGTCCATCTGCCACACAGGTCATCCTCAAGGTACGCTTAAGTTAAGTTACTGCTATCAGATGTATCTTACATGCAAAGCTAGGCAGCTTGGCTTAAGAGTGATGGTTTGCTGAAAACTATCTGATAATCCTGGGACCAGATCCTGGTCTCGCCACTTAATACTGGTGAATTCTTGATAAATTTATTGAAACTTTCTGAACCTAACCCTTATCTATAAACTAGGAATAAGATGCCCCTGGTAGAGCTGGGAGGATTAAATTAAGAGACCTAACATGTAAATTACCTAGAAATGCCTGGCCGGTATAAAATTGGGATTTATTAGTATTTTGCCTCTTTGGGAGCTAATTGTGCCAAAAGGAAAGGGTAAGAAGATCCTTTATCTACACATCATCCCCGTCAGGAAAAAATATGTCGCCACATTATATTTTCTCTGGTCAAGTCCTCCTCAACGCGTAAGAAAATAATGAATAATCCCACATCACACATTTCTGAAAGACACAGCAAGGAGTTGGTTATTCAATTATCTGGAGTGATCTTTTCTTCTGTCATTATATCAATGTCTTCTCTCAGCCTGACTTTTCCTATTGGAATATGCTTTTTCTGAACAAATTTCCATTGATCTACTTTTCCTACACATCTGTAGGTCAATGACACCTAGAGAAAAGGGAAGCACTGAATTTTGCCTTTCATAAACAGGATCAGCTCAAGCGAGCTACCTTTCCACATGTGGGGAAAAGCTCTTCCTGGCTTGAGAAAGTCGGAGCTCCTACCAAACTAACTTATTTTAATTGAATCCAGTTTTTCAATACCTAATTTGAAACTAGGTTGGACACAGTGGCTCATGCCTGTAATCCCAGCACTTTAGGAGGCCCTGGTGGGCGGGTCACCTGAGGTCAGGAATTCTAGACCAGCCTGGCCAATATGGAGCAACCCCATCTCTACTAAAAATACAAAAATTAGCTTGGCATGGTGGCTCACACCTGTAGTCCGAGCTGCTCAGAAGGCTGAGTGAGAGGATCACTTGAACCCAGGAGGCAGAGTTTGCAGTGAGCCAAGATAACACCACTGCACTCCAGCCTGGGGGTAACCAGAACAAGACTCCACCTCAAAAAAAAAAAAAAAAGAAATTGCAACTGAATATAGAAGAAAAATTGTAAGAATAATTTATGTATGCCCTCTGTGAGGTTGAGGATGTTAAAGAATGAAAACAGGGTCAGAAGCCTAAAAAAAAAGAAAAGTGAGTTAGTGCTCACAAAAAAAATTAAGGAGAATGAAGAAGGGCTTTGCAGATACTGAGAGAGAGAGGCTCAAGAGAAAATGAGCCTCCTAATGAAAGAGGAGGCATGCTAAATTAATTATGCCTTTGAAAAATTGACCTCATTCCTTAAAGCTATCACAACCCTGAAAAGAAAGAAAAGACATTTGTACAAGTTAGAAGTAATGGAGCCTGTAAAGAATTAGCCGTCTATCAAGACTAATAAACGGGATATTTAGAGAACTGGAACAAATGTACATCAACAGGTCTCAGTGCCTTACTTACAGGCAATTTAGTGAAATAGCACTTAGGATTTCTCTTCTAAAAAGAAATATAAACATTATCTGAAAGCTCAGGGGAATAGCGATACGGATTGCACAACCCAAAGTAGAAAAGCCCTTGAAATTGCACTTCCAAGTGTGATGGCTCTAATAATAGGAACAAAATATATACATAGGAAGGCCTTTATTAAAATAAGTCTACACTGAGCCTCAGGGTTTTTATGGGGTATTTTTTTCTTCAATAGCATTGATAAAACAAGAGTGGTCATCACTGGAACTTTTATTAAATTCCTTATTAGCTGAGTAATTTGGGCAAGTCACTTTCTGAGTTTAGTTTTCTAAGTTCATTTTCTCCTCTTCATGTTCTACTTAAAGTTTTTTTGAAGATTGACTATGCATGGATAACTGATAGAAAGTGCTGAGCAGAGTGCCTGGTGTACCAGAAGCCAAAATTATTATTGGTCATTATTATGATAACTCCATTTACAGTTGATAAATTGTTTCCATATCTTCCTTGAGTCCCCACTTCCTGTTGTTGCATTTGCTCTCTGAATTTGTTTCTCTGTAAAGTCCCCGTACTTGCCTCACATGGTGGCCAAATGTGGATATAAGCTGAGTGGCATCTAAAGGCATAGGTTCAAATCCTACTTCCTCCATGTAAATGTGTAACTTGGGACAAGTCCTTTGACTTGTCCACGTTTTCTTTCTCATGCACAAAATGGGAAAATTGAGACCTATCTTTCAGGGCTACAGGGAGGACTAAGTGAAATCATGTACATAAGGGTTTAGCATAGTAGCTGATCTACCTCAAGCACTCCTGAATGAGCAATTGTTGCTGTTATTATAACAATATTATCTTTTTTTTTTTTTTTTTTGAGACAGAGTTTCTATCTTGTTCCCCAGGCTGGAGTGCAATGGCATGATCTCAGCTCACTGCAGCCTTGGCCTCCCATGTTCAGGCAAGTCTCCTGCCTCAGCCTCCCGAGTAGTTGTGATTACAGGCACGTACTACCACACTCAGCAAATTTTACATTTTTAGTAGAGACAGGGTTTCTCCATGTTGGTCAGGCTGGTCTCAAACTCCCAACCTCAGGTTATCTACCTGCCTTGGCCTCCCAAAGTGATGGCATTCCAGGCATGAGCTACTGCACCCAGCTTACAATATTATCTCTTGATCTTAGGAAAGGGAAGCTCTTCTTTAGTGATATCAGGCTGTCTCATGTGTACTCAAAATAAGGGTACACAGAGGGAGTAATGTGAAAGCACAAAGCTACATGTCCTGCAGCCTAATATCTTTGCTGAAATCTCACCTAGGAATGTATGCCTTCTTTTTTTTTTTTTTTAATTGTACTTTAGGTTCTGGGTTACTTGTGTAGGTCATGCAGGATTGTCACATAGGTACACACTTAGCAATGTGGTTTGCTGCCTCCATCCCCCCGTCACTTACATCTGGCATTGTTCCCCATGTTATCCCTCCCCAACCTCCCCACCCCTCTGTCCCTCCCTTGGCTCCCCCCAACAGACCCAAGCGTGTGATGCTCCCCTCCCTGTGTCCACGTGTTCTCATTGTTCAACACCCACCTATATGTGAGAACATGCGGTGTTTGATTTTCCGTTCTTGTGTCAGTTTGCTAAGAATGACGGTTTCCAGATTCCTCCATGTCCCTACAAAGGACACAAACTCATCATTATGCCTTCTTTTTAAAACTAAAAGTAGAAATTTCTTTTTTAAAAATAGAAAGTGTGGGGATATGAGTTATTCACAGCTTAGAATGAAGTGGTTAGGAATGTTTGGTTCCTAACAGCTATTAAAATTAGTACAGAGAAAAGGGGGATTTAGATGAGGAAAGAAAGAGTTATGATGATTTGGTGGTGAGGTAAAGAGAGACACCAAAAGAAAACAACAGGAGTTCATGCTCATTCATCATCCCTCTCTCCAATCATTCAACCATGTATTATGTAGCATCTACTATGCACAATGTCTAAATGCCCACCAATAAACATAAAGAGATGCCACTCCTATATTCAAGGAGTCTGCAGGAGAGTGAGAGTAAATAAGCTTGGAATCAGTACAGTGCATATGTAAGGGCTATAACCTCTGAGTATTTGCATTGTTTTGGAATCATGGAATATGATGAGGGAAAGGTAGAAGGATAAGGATAAAGCCACTGAATGAGTCTTGGAAACAAAGCATCCTGTGAGCCATCTCTGTCATTTCTCATAGAGGTTAAACCGGAAGGGGCATATTTCAGGCTGAGGAACTGAAGGCATGAGAAAGCATGACCTATTGGAGACCTAGAGATAATTCTGTATGATTCAGGCATTGACAGTTAAGAAGCAAGGGGAAAGGTAGCAGGCCAAATAGAGAGGCAAAATTGGACTCACTGAATGGTTTGTAAGCAAAAAGGTGACACAGTCATATATTCGTTCTAGAAATAATACTGTAAAATATTTTGGATATTATTGACTAGAAAAGGTAAGGATTAAAGAAAAGGAGTCTAGTATACAGGCTGTTGAAGTATAGACCATCTGAACCAAGGCACTGGTAGGGGTAATGGAAGACAGGCTTAATTCAGGACCCAGATTTGATCGGATTTGTTGACCACTTGTTTTCAGGAGGCATATACAATGACACTGAGGTTACTGGTTTGGGTGACTGAGTGGATGATAGTGGCATTAAACTCAGAAAGATAAAAGGGACAATGCACTAGAGAGCAAATCTCACAAATGTGCAAAGTGCCAGCTTCCTAGAGAAAGGGAATTGGACATAACTCATTTTAAAGAATGCTGGGAATGAAATGACTATAACAATTGCAAATAATTATTTGTATTATTCTCATTTGACATACTAATAATTTGAAAGTCAACATCCTTCAACATTCCAGCTGCTTCCTCTAACTGAAGATTGACAGTTCAGCCCTGAAACGGCATCAGTACACAAACAAGAGTGCCATAAACTTTAATGAGCTTTAAAAAATAGCTAAATACATGTTCATCTCTCTCAACAGCTGGAACATTTCTTCCTGGGGTTGCTAAGTATTAATAATATGTTTCTGTGAGTAAATCCAGGGAAGTTGAACTGGTAAGAGACCTTGTTCAGGTTATCTCAGTGAATACTTCCTCCCCCGCTCCCCCCCCGCCCAACTGATCAGGATCTAAAGAGAAAAGTCAGAATATATTGCTGTCATATCCTACACATCCAAGGTACTCATAGCCAATGTAGTTAGAATGTCAATGAAAATACCCCTAAAAATCTTGGGGAGAATCTACAGGAAGTGATCAAAACACCTACACGCCATAAGGTAGAACTAAGCTGGGGTTCCAAGGTTCTGATATGACAAACCATCCAGGCTATATCCTCCAAAGATTTTCCACACATTTATCTGACCTCTATGTGGTTATTTAAGCAAAAGAATGAGCTAAGAAGCTGCCATTTACTGAAGACTTACTGTATACACAGATTTATGTTAAATTCCTTGCACCTAATATTTCAATCACCATAATCACCACCTCATGAAGGGAATATTATTATTTCTATTCCCCTTCTACAGATGAAGAAATCAAAGCTCCAAAAATAGAAGTGATTTCTTCAGAGTTTGATAGTAAGTGGCACAGCCAAGATTCAAGCAGAAATGTCTTTGTGGCCAAAACTAGTTCTACCGCCACACAGTAATGTCTTAATACCTTTATCATTTGTGGCCAAAACTAGTTCTACCGCCACACAGTAATGTCTTAATACCTTTATCATTCCAATCCCAATTTTTTAAAATGTCAGAAACACCCTAAAATATGTGCTAACTTTGCTCAGAAACTATAATAAATGTGATTCAGCTATCCTTTTGGGTTGAAATACCTGATCATTTATTAAGCTCACCCAGAGATGATCTATCAATGAACACATAATCCCATGTATAGATTTAGGCTTTGTTAGTTGAACAAGAAAGATAGATAAATATTATTACTTGAGACATACAACTCTCTAATATTAAATATTTCTATAATATTTCCTCTGGGCTTCTCTTGGCAGTGATGTATTTTTTTAGCATTCCTCCACTTTTTGCCACTTTATTCTGAATAGAACAATATTCTCAGTCGGTCAAAAGTGCCATTTCCTTTTATAGCCAAGGTTTTGCACAATGATACTAAACAATATAAATGATGCTTTATTTGATGACTGCTTTATGCTTTCTGCAGCCTCTAGTGGGACGAGACACTTGGGTTTTCCCTGTAAATTTTGCCAGCTCCCCAATCTGGTGCAGCTATCAAGTTCTCCCCTGGAAAATTTAAATCTCTGTTTAAAACATTAACTTCTTCTTCATTTAATTTTTTATTGCTAAAGGTTTACAGCTGACTTTATGGCCCTGGGATGATTAATTTTTAATGCCTTTCTTTCTTTATTCTTTGATCAACTTCCTCCATTTTCAATTTGAATGCGATTGTACCTTTTCTAAAAAGCATTTGTCACTTGCTGGTTTGCATATTTCAGGCAACCAGAGGTGGTTGATGTGGAGTGGAAGGCAGGCATTCCTGCAGAGAGTAACTGAAATATAGACAGTAACTCTGTGCCTTTCATGTGACTCCTGTTGATAGCAAACCCTCTCGCATCAGTAAATCTTCCAGCTCCAGGTCTTGGCAGGCAATGAATTCCCTGAGAGGGTTATCGTACTAAATCCTGTCATTGTCATGCATAAGGTATGGATTGAGTCGCATCTTTCAAACTACCGAACCATCATTAGGGAAAACAAATAGGTGAAACGTAGCTTAAAAACAATTTCTATCTGCTTCCACTCACCTACCAAAAAAAAAAAAAAAAAAAACAAAGCCAAAAGAAAATAAGGATGTGTTTTGCAAGTCAAGAAGTCCCTAGCTTTTTATACTCATACAGCATACAGCCATTTAAAATGAAGTAGAATATTTAATGACATGGAAAAAATATTCATATAGAGTCAGCGAAAAAAAAAAACAGGTTACAAAACAATGAGTACAGCATAATTAATTTTTAAAAGGTATGTGTTTGCATAAAAAGACTGAGATAATGTGTACTGGTTTTCTCTGAGGATGATAGAAATAAAGGTTTATTCTTACTCTTCTTTGCTTCTCTCTGCTGAGTTTTCTACATGATGATACATTGCTTTTGTAATTATAAAAATAACTCATTTAAAATAGAAATTTCTTACATTTAGGAAATAACTGAAAATAAGTAAATAACCAGAGACCATATTCTTGAGAGTCTAGAGGAAATGTGAGAGATGGTGAAAATTAATAGTAATATTATAAATGTTTGAAGGGATGGATACCCCATTCTCCATGATGTGCTTATTTCATATTGCATGCTTGCATCTTAACATGTTATTTACCCCACAAATATATATACCTACTATGTACCCACAAAAAAATTTTAAGAAAAAATATTTATCAATATATTAACGACACTCATAGGAGCAATATATTCCCAGCTTTCAAAGTATATAGTGTTATCCACATGTTACAAGAATGAAGGCAAAGGCTCCAAAACATTACATAAGTTGTCTAAGTTTGTATAGTTCATTGAGATCAAGGACGATAAATCCTGGACCCCTGTGACTTCAAAATGCTTGCCATTGTCACTGTGCTATACTTCCTTAATTGAAGTGTATTTCTATACACAATTGAGATACTACATTCATTCAAATTTTTTACTAGAGAAATAATAACTCTCAGACCCAATGCTATTAATAAATCAAAAGGATATTTCTAAATTATTTTTGTCCTTCCTTTTTTATGTTATTTATCTATTTTGAAATAGAGTCTCGCTCTGTCTACCAGGTTGGGATGCCATGGCATGATGTCAGCTCACTGCAACCTCTGCCTCATGAATTCAAGTGATTCTCCTGCCTCAGCCTCTTGAGTAGCTGAGATTACAGACACCCAGCAGCACACCCAGTTAATTTTTGTATTTTTAGTAGAGATGGGGTTTCACCATGATGGCCAGGCTGTCTCGAACTCCTGACCTCTGGTGATCCACCCACCTTGGCCTCTCAAAGTGCTGAATTACAAGCATGAGCCACCACACTTGGCTGTCCTTCCTTTTCTAAAAAAGTTATGTGCATGTGTAAATTAATATATTAATTCTTTTCATTATAATTAATGAGCATGTTACAGTTTACAATGCATTTTTTCATATCCACTAGTCTTCCCGTTTGATTTTTCACCATGTAACTCTAATATCATCAAAAATTATATTTACAATATTCAACAACTTGTGTAGAAAAATAATATGTAAAGAAAAAATTAAGACTTCTGTTCCTATTTTGTCTCTAGTATGTATATATATACTGTTTGCATATGTATACAAACAGTATATATGTATATATTTTAAACTGGTTACCAGGTAATATAAGTTGAAACAAAAAAAAATTGTTCATTTAATAAAATAATTTCCACTAATATTATAGGTTTTATCTTCTGTTTGTTAAACTGCCAGTAACTGACATTTAGCCCCTGTCTGAGCCATAATTTGACAATCACAGTGAAACTCTTGTAAATTGATGATCACTTGTAGTCTGAAAATGTGAGCTTCTCTTGCCATCTGCAGTGTTGTTTTATGGTGCTGAATGCTCTCCTCAGCTCCTGTTGACGTAACAGCAATTACATAATAACGCCTAAATATTTTTACATCCAATGGC